AAAAGCTTTCTGTAATACTCTTCCCGGTAGGGCAGAATTATACTTAAATCTGAATCAAATAAAAAACAAAAAGTGACTTGCAGTTTAGATTTGGGAAGAATAGGCTTATTGTACTTAATTATTCAATAGCCAGGGGAAAAGTAAGTATACTAAATAGTTGTGCATGCTAATGCAAAACAAACAAACAAACCCCCACAAGACACAAAACCAAACCCCACCTTAATACTGTGAAAGCCTTCTGAAGGCCCAGATTTAGAAAATGTGAAACACCAAGTTTAAGAAATTTGCATAAAGTTAAAAAGACACATTGGGAACCCCCAGGGATTTCTTCAAGCTTCAGATCAAATTTTTATTAAGCCACAAACAATGCCAATATTTCCACTGGAACAGATGAAATCCTCAGGTCAATGTTAAAGATTTCTGACAATACTTTTTGTGAAGACTAAACATGATTTTCTTACAGTAACTTACTTTGAATAAGCAGCTACTCAAATATTTTACTGTAAAAATAATCTTAGGAACGTAAGTAGCCTTTTTTAAACAACTTAGAAACATGAACATAGCTCTGGTTAAAAAGAAACAACTTTCACAATTATTAAATAGTACTGAGTGTCGTATTAATGACATTGTATTTGTAGTTTATCATGCATAAAATTTCTTTCCACTTCTTTTCCAGATTCAGGATTTGCAGAAGTACCAGAGTTCAAAAAACGAAGACTAACATATGAAAGAGTCCCTGGAAGTGATGGACAAACACGTCTTAAATTCTTTTGAATGGGATGGAATGGGGATTTGTATACTACACACACTTTTTAAACTTCTTAGTCTTTGAAGGGAAATAGATTAAATTGAACTTTTTTGTTCATTTTTAGAGAGAAATTAGAGTTTGTGAATCCTTACTAATTCAGAATTCTTTTGTATGTTTAAAAAATTTTACTAAACAAACTGGTTCCTTGAACTTGGAGAATTACTGTTTCTCTGTTCTCATGGGTGATATAAAGTTACTTTATCACTCTTTATGCAAAAAATAAAATATGGATGAAAAAAACCCAGACACTGAAGCTAATGGAATTTTTAAGGCACATGTGTTTATTCCCTGAGCATGCAGCTTTACAGGCTTAAAGACAGATCAGATATGCTGAACTCTCAAGGATGCTCATAGAGTTTTAGAGCTTTCTTGCACTCACAGCTGTGACTCTCTGTATTTTCCCTTGGGGGCAGTTCCACTTCTTCACCTCTGCAGTTCCTTTAAGAACTCATGTGATAAGTTCATGAACTGCCTTTTATCATAATTAAGCTACAGGAACAACCTATTTGTTTTATGGACAGTTTTATTTGTTTTATGTAAGAGATATGCTGAAATTTACGACTCTGATAGTTTTAATTCAGAGAGCTTGGCTGTGACCCAGCTCTCTCATAATCTGGTGGAGGCCATTTCATTGACTGAAATCCACATTTTTCAGTACTGCTTACTGTCGGCAAGCAGGGAGATGGAAGTCATCTGGGAGGCATTGACAGATAATGAAGGCTACAGCTGGAAGAGATAAGAGATTAGTGAGTGGGGTAAAAAAAGACATCTCAGTTGCAAGCTACAGAAGAGAGAGGGTAGAATAGTACCTGAACCTTCACTTCCCATCAGCAGTTTGGCAATGAAACAGGAAGTATGTGTGGGAGCAATGGTAGACAGTAACTCCGTTCTGCTGCAGGAATGCATGCACAGTTTGCACCCGCATGCCTGCCAGCTCCAGTGCCTGCTCAGCGGCCTGCAGCTGAGATGATTCAGTTTTAGCATTCACAAATCTTTCCGAGTTTGATGCAATAACAGAAAGAAAAATGAAACAAGTTTATGGTTTACACTTTTAGTAAAATACTTTCTTGCCTTTTTGAGTCTTTATTAAGTGCACTTCTTGGATAAATGTAAACCAGCATTTAGGGGAGAAAGCTCTGGTCTCACAGCAAATGGAGTGCTGATTTTTAGCTGAGATTTCCTAAAACCTATGACAGCACTAACAGCAATTTTAGTTCACACTAAGTATCTCCAGACTATTTGTATCCAAATTATTTGCAACACTTTCAAAAACACCTTTCAAGTGTAACTTAAAAAGAAATTTAGCAGAATTGCGAACAGGGTTTCCCTACTTTGCCCATAATAAGAGAAAAAACTTAAATGGAAATTGCAGTTTGCTTACTATTTGTGGTCCATTTTTGTGGTCACTTGACCTAGCCATTTTACTTCTCTTTGATTCATGGGTTTGGCTTTGTCAGAGCTGCATCCCAAATTGCCAGGCTCAGGAATGTGTTCTTTTAGTAGTGCAGCTCAACGAAGCCTCAGTCACAGACAACCACAGTGCAGCAAATTATAGCTGCCCCTGACAAACTATTTATTTATGTCCTCCTTTCACACAGGCAAAGGCTGATGCCAGAACTTTTACATGGGCAGTCTTGGAAGACTGGCTCAGATGATCTCTAGATCACTTCAAAAACAAGGGCATGTTGCCCATGTTCAGTAAGCAGAGAAAATTCAAGTGCTGTCTGTGTTAAGTTTCCATACTGTAGAAAAGATGTCAGTGTACAGTTAGTTACTGGCAATGCAGTGGCAAATAGGGGCAAGGGCTTGCAATGACCAGTCATTTTTACTTTATTTGTTTATGACTCTTGGTATCTCACAGATACGTACACACTAGCAAATTTATCATAGGTGCCATTCTCATCCCTCCTCCCACCTGTTTAATGTGGAGGATTACTGCACTGTAAAAATGCACTTCCCTTCTCCCCCAGATCATCTATAACTAAAAATAAGTAGGAAGTAACTACCTCCTAACTACCAGTCCTCCGTCAGTGGGGAAGGACACTCAGTTCTTGGATCAGATTTGTAAACTGCTCAGTGATGAGGCAGATGGCAGCTGTAGGTGGGAGAGAGCTGAGCTGAGGAACTATGAGAGGTGGTGGTGGCAAAGGGAGCCTTGTGTCTCATGTGAGGCACTTGGTGCACAGTGTGCGCTCACTTGATGTGCTTTATTGTGGGCATCCTGTGGGACCTGCTGCCATGAAACCTGGTATGAAGGCCTCCTGTGTGCTGTGTGGAGTGTTAAAACCTAAGCAGGCAGCCCCCTTGGATGGTCTTTGGGAAAGAAAGCCAAGACATTGTTACATGTTCAGAGCTGCCCATCCCACTGTAGGTGGCATCTATTAAAGCAGGGGCAGCAAAATGCGATGCTTGTCCCTGTCCAAACCACCCCAGCTGTCAGTTTTGCAAAGAAGAGTGCAAACATAACTGTAGCTGGAGATGAGACATTGTCCTATTGGTGAGGCAAGAGAGACCCTGTTCTGCCTGCAGCAGACCGCTGCTCAGACTTGTTTGTCAGGTTCCTGCAAGTGAAAAAAGGGACCTGCAAAAGCTGAGCTGATAAAACACAAGCTGCTCCATTCCGTCAACACAACATCACCAGCAGTGGCATGCTTTGTAAAACTGACTCCCAACAGGAACCCAAGAGCCTCAACACCAACTAACCCTGCTGTGGAGCTCAGTCTGACACCTGGCTTTTGTCACAGACCATGCCTTGGGAGGGCAGAGGTGGCATTGCTATCATCCATCTCCCTGCTTGTACCCTGCAACTCAAATCAAGCTGAGTAAAGGAGCACACCGCTCTGAAGAGACTGGAATGTGTTTTCCTCCTGAGACTGCAGAATAACCACCCCACTCGCTGGTACACCACAGGGGAGTGCTCCTAGTCCATTTCACAGCTGATGCATGGTGTTTCTCCCCTTGCTGGTGCAGGATGTGGATGCAGTCAGGACCTGCAGAATACTCAGTGCTGCTCCTCCAGCGTGGTGCTCCAACTGAAAGGTACCGCATGGGGCTGGGCATGGCAACCAAGAGACAGCAGTCATGTAGCTGGGTGGCAGCAGCTGCTTTCTTGTGCACACTGTAATTTGGCAGTTTGTTATGCCAGCTCAGCAGCCACTCCAGAGCCCAAGCTTCAAGCGAGGACACTAAACAGGGAAGTGTATGCTGCAAGGGAGCCTGGACAGAGAAACAGATGTGGGGACAGGGAGAAGGTTTCACTGTGGGAGGTGAAAGAAATATGAAGGGCTTGCATGGGAGGGAGTGGCCAGCAGCCATCTGATGGCTGTTAGCAGGCATTTAATGCATATTCTCATCCCTCTACACCCTCCCCGACTTGGAACATTTTGACCTCGATCTGAGTGTCTGACCAGCTCTGTGCAGGCTTCCGGCAGGACAGCAAGCATGAAAACCTTTTGCCAAATAGCTTGAGGCCTCCCCTCCCACTGCAGAATCAAAGTATCCTCTTCCTTACAATATCTTCTCTTTGTTACAATTAAACAATGAGTTCAAAGCCTGGGAAAGTAGGGAAAGGAATTTTATTTCCAAACTTCGAAAAGATTAATACAAACAATAGAAAGTAGACAACATTACAAAACTATTAAAAAAGTTAGTTGTCCTTTTAAAAGTGCTCTATAAAAAAAATGAAGGCAAATGACCAAGCACATTTTAGTATTTTTGCGTGTTGTAAACCTTGACAATTACATGTACAACTATTTTTGGGTGTTCACAGATTTTTAGTGTCTGTTTGGTCACAATTTATACATATCAAGGATATTCCACTACAACAGTACCTTTACTAATACTAATTCGGAGAGTGTTACAGATTAGAGGTCTTGTAAGAAATCCTTTTCTTTTCTTGTAAGAAAAGGCCTTAGGAATCAAGCCTGTGCTACACACTGTGTCCAGCAGTTTCTAATATGTGTCATTTATGGACTTAGATGCACCTGAAAAAGAACTGTAGGTGGTTCCAGTTTACTAATAGAAACAAAATTCCACTGAGAACATGAGTTCAGTACTAACAGCTTTTAGTTTTATACTTTTTCACTTTTTGAAAGTTTTATTGGGGGGGAGAAAAAGAAGCAAATCCCAAATAGTTTCTATTCTCATTCCAGTGTAATAGTTTACCAAGATAGTAATTTAGTAAAAATCCATGTCTTTTCTAAAATGTAAACTTCTCAAGTAGTATTTGTATAGTTAGCACAGCGTAGCAACAATTGTGACAATTCTGAAAAGAGTAACAGTTACATTAGAAAACTTTATGAACATAAGCAAAAGACTGAAGTTCGGATACACAAGAAAACAAACAGATGAATATTTAGGAAACTGGTTTAGACACACAAGTTAGGACACAGAGAGAGAGATTCTTCTTGTGAAAGAAAGGCAGTTGTTAAGCATGTCATGCTTGAAGGCAACTCTCTGATGACCTTCCCTGTAACAGGAAAAGTAAATCCATTAAAAATGCTGTTTTCCAAGCTGACAAATTTCTCTTACAAATTATACCACAAAAGCTCCTTTGCACTGAGAAAAACTGAATAACCCTTTTCTTTGTTGAGTATTGACATCCTGAATACTTCTAAATATTTTTTAGTTGGGTTTTTGACTTTGGTTTCATTGTTTTTGATCCTAAGGTAACTAAATAAAAAACTAGATAACTGCTCTATCATCAAAAGGCTACTAAATGACATCCTGGCCTGAGCTTTTCTAGAAGTATCACAAATTTACCATCCAACTTGTTTGAGAAAGTATTTTGTATCCTGTCTGGATGATGCAATCAAACTTGAATCCTAGAAATACACCTATACACACAGAGAGACACAAAAAATAAGAAGCAAAAGGCTGCTTTGATAGCACAATAACACATGCAACAGTCATGCCAATTTCATCTTATTTGCAGGAAGAATTAAGGGTAGCACCTAAGTTAAGAAAATACTCTGCTGGTGCTTCACCCCCAGCCCAAGTTTTTCCAGAAGACCACCTCATGCTCAGTTTTCTTCCCTTTCAGGTTCAGTCCTGTGTTGTCAAACCTATGTAGCAACAATCAAAGCACACTACTGATGAGGCACAAGCGCAGATGCAATCTCAGGAACCCTGGCAGCAGGAAGGGGGAGATTCTGTAAGTACTTCACATTCCAGTTTAAATTTCTGCTTGTAAAACCCCATTCATTTTCATTTTGATAGTGCTCTCAAAGAAATAACAGAATTCAGTGGTTCTTTCTCTCCCTGTAGTTTTCTCAGCTATCAGGAACTATTTTATTTTTAATTTTGAAAAGTAACCCTTTCTGACCATCCTACTTCCACCTTTGTTTGTCATGCACAAGAAGTAAGTTTTTCCAACAAAAGTTTGGCATCATCCTGCCTAAGACTACAAGCACACATGGCCTCCCTTCCTCCTGCTGCAATCACAGGTACACATGGGAGAGACAACAGTGGGAATCACCAAACTGGATCCCAAAGAATTGCCAATGCTGGACAGTCACCCATCCAGCTGGCCAGTGTTCCACAGCTACAAGCAGTGCAGAGTGCTAAGGCAGGCAAAGTTTAGGGAGTATCTCATCCTTCAGACCTGTGCTGAAAAAGGTTACAAAGCATGTGATTACAGATTGCTTCAGCTCCTCTTGGCTTCCACCACTTTTGGTGCTGTACCAGTATACAGTTGTTCAGTAACAACAGAAAGAGCCCAAGAACACAGCCAAATGAACTGCAGCATGACTTTGAAGACAGCATGTATTTTAACAAGGTTCTGGCTTAAGCTGCAAGTTAGTCATCAGAATACATGCATCTGTCACGGCTTTGTCTTCTTCAAGATGAGTATGTGACTGGCTTGTACATCTGGCTGTGTCAGCATGTCAGGGGCAGCTATATTATTTTGGCTGCTGCTAAAGACCCTAGAGCTGCTCAAGCAGAAAAACAGATCAAAAAAAAACAAACCCCAACTTATAAACAAAACACCTCTAGAAAGAGCTGTAGGAAAGAGACATGCTTCCATTGTCACACCTCATAGGAAGAGAAAACAATTTGTAGAGTAGCAGTGAAGTGATGACACTTGGCTACTCAGAACTTGATATTAAAACAATTACCATCACATGCCCTTGTCCTTCTGAGGGCTTGGGTTTCAAATCTGAGTTGTTGTTGTGGTAGCTGTGACTTTATTACCTGATTTCAGAGTAGAGTGCAGGATCGGGGTTCTCGAAAGGGATTGCTCCCCGCAGGAACCCCAACAAGCAAAGCATCTTTGCAGGCATTTTGCATACAGTACTGCTGGAGTTCTGCAGCTGCCTGAGAGACCTGCGTAAAGGGAAAAGAGAAACAAATCCAGAGAGGAAACTAATTCATTCACAAGCATCTATTAGGCATTTCCTCTTGAACAGCCATTACCAAACAGAGCTGGAGAGCAGCCAAGCCAGCTCTTGGATTCTAAACCAGCAAATACATCAGCACAGATGCACATTTACAAAGCTCCAAATAAACACACATGAAATACTTGCCATTTGATGAGCCAGAGCAGTGTAGAGGACAGAGGTGAAAGTGCAATGCAATCTGTCCTCATTAAAATGCACAGGGCTGTGACCACAATGTTTTCTAAGCTACTGTACTGTTTACAGGTTTATATTTGAACTCATATGTCCTGAGTTAATTTATTGAAAGGGTTTTCATTCCCAAACTGTTAACAACACAGAGCATAAGAAGGAATGAAAGCGAAAAGATGAAAAATTTCTAAAATCCAAATTGCCACCTTCCGCTGGCAATGAAGTGAGAGCTTCAAATCCATTCTGGCCCCAGAGAGCACAGTCCAGCGCTGTGGAACAAGCCCAGGAACCCAGATGGGATTTTGGTTCTTAGAATGTCTGGAAGCATGTGAGAAAATCTGTCCCAGCACATGCTTTCATTTGCTATTTTGCTGCTTTCCTGTTCACTGCCTCCCAAGTCTCCTCCAGGATACTCATCCTGGTAACTGGCTGTCAGCATTCCAGGGAGTTGTTAAGAGAAGCATTTCTCCACAGCCTCCCAAGTTCTTTTGTACTCTTGGAGCACAGGCAGAAGTACCGGCAGCAAGGGGATCCCTGCTAGTCAATGGGCTTTGTCCACTGAGAGAGAGAACCTCTTTCTGGAGGATGCAAAGGTCTCTGTGTTCTGCCCAGCCCCTTCAACCCACACAGCATTAGTACCCTTCCCTTGGCCACAGCACTGACCCCTTGCTGGTACCTATGGACCACATGGCTACTAGGCAGAGATGCTGCTTGCCTTATCAGGCCAAGGCTGCATGGGGCTTTTTCCTGGGAAGGTGAGCATTCGTTCGGGGCACGGCTTGCCCTGTGAGCATAGCAGAGTTAGCAGTTCCTCACTGTGCCTCCTTGCACTTTGCTGCCCAACTCTGCAAGACACACTGAGCTATGCATATCCTGGTGCTCCTGCAAAGACACAAACCTGAGGTTTGGCATCCCTGTGAGGATTATCCATACAGCAGCAAACTGTTGTTCTAGGACAGATCTGCCTACTCGTAGCCCTACCTATGCCCCTATAGCATTCTTACGGAAATGCATGCAAAGAAAGTATGAGGGTTTCTGATGTATTTCATCATGGGTGAACACGCTCCCTGCAGAAGCCTCCAAGATGTGTGGGGGTACTTCTTTCCCACCTGGTTTCCTCTTTCTGGAAACGCTCTTCCTGTCTGGTCTTTTAGCTGGCAGCGCAAACAGAATAGTCACTGCGTCTCTGTGCTATGGGATGTATTTTAAAAAACCCTTTCATACCCAGCTTCCGTCTGAAAACACATTGTCCGTTCACAGGAGCCAAACATTTTCTCCTGTCTCAGCATCTGCTAAACGTGATCCAAGTGGCCCTTCACCAGCTGAATATACCCCCTGCTGGTTTTACACAGAATGTCAAGAAACCAAGATAACACTTTGCGTAAGACATAGTTTTAATTGTGCATCATTTCACTTGTGCAAAAGACATGAAGAGGATCCTGGAGCAGCAGACCTGGAAGGAGACTGCTGTGCACATGGCTGCGTGGTCTCACCAAGGCCAAGGCTCCTCAGAATAAAAGCAAACCCATAGCAAGTGTGAGATTCATATTTGAGAAATCCAGCTCCAGAATGTTACTGCCACAAAGTAACGTCCAATAAACTACACACTATATTTTTATATACCCTCCCTGCCCACACAGAAAGCAGTGAGGGGGTATATGCCTAAAAATGAGCAGGAGCAGAGATCCAGGTTACTGCTGGCAGTGTAAAGCAACAGAAACGTTTCGTCAATCACTCCTGTGTTAGACAATGTCCTTCTTGCCATGAGAGCCTACACATTTGCTCTGCCTTGTGCTGTTCTCACAGATTTCCACAGGTCACTGCATCGGTGAACTACAGTCACTTTCAGCCAATCAAACATCTGACGACTCAATAGTTGCTCATAGAATTTAGCAACAACAATGAACTGATTGGGATAATGTCCAAAAGACAAGCGGTTTCACCTTGCAATGGGAACTTCAAGTTTTCAGCAGCCCAGGACAGTAACAGTGGGAAAGGGGGTTCCGAGTTATTTTTTAAATCAATTAACTAAGCTCCCGCAGGTCAACAGACGGCCACTGTCGTCAGACTGAGGAAGCTGATGTTTGTGACTGGCCAGCGGAAAATGGCGAATGCATGGAGGCGATGAAGGAAGTGCAGGATACAAATTAGTTTGACCTTCAATCCCTTCACAGCCTGTGTTGGATGTTGTGCCTCGCTGGAAAGAATCCTTTCTGCAAAGTGGTTGCGAACACCCCTCTCCTTCCCCCCCAGCCCGCTCAGAACCCAGAGCTGTCTTGGACGTGGTGTGAATTTGCATGAGTGACTTTGGGCTGACGGGGAAAAAAAACCAACAAAAGACAAACGAACAAGATAACCCCCAACCGAGTAACCAACCAACCAAAAACCCACAAGCAAAATAAACAACAAAAATCCGCCAAACAGACCCCACGAAGCCAAGCCTTAGGAGGTGGCAGATGACGGGAGCGCCTTGCTAGCCTGTCTTTGGAAATCCTTAGGCAGGAGAGTCTATGCGTGCGTGCGTGCGTGCGTACGAGCCCGCCTGCGCTCCCAGGCCTGTCGGGTGCGCAGATCACACCGCCTCCCCCGCAAGCCCCTCGGGCTGAGGAGCTGCTCCAGACTCTAGCTTCTTGTGCGGAATTAACGCGGTGCTGCCGCGTCTCTCCCCGCAGCTCCTTCCACCCGTACCCGCGACCTGGACACACGCACCCCTCGGCCCCTTCCCCCCGACTCGCCCCCAGGGCGGCGGCGCGGGCAGACAGCGGCAGGAGCTGCTGGTCCCCGGGTGAGCCGCTCCCCGCCTCACCTTGATCCTCTCCACGCCCGCCTCCAGCTTCAGCTGCTCCACCAGCCGCTGCATGGTGCTCAGGCTGCCTCCCGAAGACATGGCCGGACCGCGGGAGGATGCACGGACAGAAGCAAGCAGCTCGGCTCGGCTCCCCCCGCAGCCGCCGAGCCGCTAAGGGGAGGGACCGGGCAGGGCCGGGCCGGGCCCGCTCCGCTCCGCCCTCAGTCCCGCCGGGTCGGCCCCGGCTGGCGAGTCCCGGCCCGACCGAATTGCGGCGCCTGGCGGCGGCCTCGGCTGCGGAACCGCGTGCCCCGGGGGTAGGAAAGCGTTTTGGTTAAACAGGAGAGGACGGAGAAAATAAACAAACCAGGGACGAAAAGGGGGAGGGGAAAAAATAGGGGAAAAGAGGGGAAACGGGGAAGGGGGGAAAAAGGGGGTAAAGAAAGACGAAAAAAAGGGAAAAGAGGGGAAAGGAGAAAAAGGGGACGAGAGGACAAGGCAGGAAAAACAAAAAAGGGGCAAAAAAGCGGAGGAAAAGGAAGGAAAAAAGGGGGGAAGGGAGAAAAAAAAAACTACAAAAAAGGGGAAGGGAGAAAAGAACCTACAAAAAAGGGGAAGGGAGAAAAAACACTACAAAAAAGGGGAAGGGCAAAAAGACAAGTGGGGAAAAGGGGGGAAGAAGGAGCAAGGAAAAAGAAGAAAAAGGAGGCAAAAATGAAAAAAAGGGGAAAGGGGGAAAGAAAAAAAAGGAAAAGGAGGAGAAGGGGAAAACTGAAAAAAAAAGGGGGAAAAGAGGCAAAATATGCAGGGAAAAAAGAGAGAAAAAAAGCAAAAAGGGAGGAAGGGGAAAGGAAGAAAAAAAACAAGAAAGGAGGAAGGGGAAAAGGGACAAAAAAGCAAAAAAGGGGAGGAAGGTGCAAAAATAGAGGAAAAAAGGGGGAAAAAGGAAAAGGGAGGGGAGGAAAGAGAGAAAAAGGAGTTCTAAATCTCATTCAAAGATCTAACCCTGCAAAGAGAAGCCCACTTTGCATACAGGCAGCCAGTAGGCTAAAACTGCTTGCAACATAGCTTCATCCCCATCTGCACCATTCATCATCATTTCAGTTGTGGCCACCAATGAGTCCCTTAACTTTCTGAAGGGCATTTGCCAGCCATCAGAGCTTGCTGGCCTGTTAAAAAGTTGGTGGAATAAAGATCAAACCCTCAAAAGATTGCTCTGAACGTAGGGATTACCAACCATAGACATGCTTGAGCCTCATGCAAAGCCTCAGTTTGAAAGGCCTTGGCTCTGAATACCTTTTGCATACCGAGTGAAATGTATGTTTCACCTTACATACACTATGAATTTGGAAATAAATACATGCTGCACAACAGACACAACTCTTTGAAAACAGTAGACTGTAGTAGATTTAGGACGTAAAGTGGTTCTTCTCCAAGACTCTATAGCCTCGCCACACTGCTACCCAGTACCAGCAACACTTGCTCATGCAAAGACTTCTCCCTGAAGTCATCTCAATCTATGCTGGCTTTACGAGGTAGAGTAATCCTCAGCAGCCTCATTTCTGCTTTATTTGGGTTTTTTTCCATGTGCATGTAATTGCTTTGTCAACTTTATTCCAGGATAAAATAGGGCCTGAAAACTTATGCCCAGAAGACAGGCATCATTTAGAACTACAGTGAGGTGTTAGGCTAGAAACCATCAGTGACCTGAGCTAATGAGTGTCACTCAACACTGACAGGTTTGTAAAGACACATGGGTTTTTCTCTATCATTCATCATAGAGATGTGACTGCAGTGTCACCGCCCTGTAAATTTTTGCTGCAACCCATGAATTTATGTCTGCATCTGGGTATTTTCAAAGGGCTATACATCAAGAAAAGGGAACTCCAAGCTGAGCCTGCAGGATGGCTCATTTCCAGTGGGCCATACAGCCCCTCCAACGCACCCATTTCCCACTGTGGTGTCAGGTCAGGAAAATAAATCTTGATTACAACTAACATCAGCAAGGAGAGAAAACAGATCTCTGCTTTAACTACTTATCTGCATAACCCAAACACTTGGCTTAGAAGGGAAGGAATGGAGCAAAATGAGGCACAAAGGCAAGAGTAGTGAAGCCTGTGAAACTGTGGCCACAGGTTTAGACCCTCTTGCATGACTTGCCTGGTTCTTTTCCAGATATAACTGTTTTACCTACTAATCAACACCATTTATTTTCTTTGTTTCTATCACAGCAACTTAATCTTCCCCCTTCCACTCTCACAGGCGGCCGATTCGGGTTTGGGGGATGAAGCCGTGAAGGTCTCTTACTCCATGAACATCTTTACAGTGTCCCCATGGTCACTTCATGAAAGCAAGCACAGCTTATTCTGGATACCTTTTTTAACAGGTATTTGAATTTTGGATTTAAATATAGACAATTAAAATACAAAGTGAGTAACACAGCTACAGTATGTGCAGCAAAGCTGAAGGACAAATCTACGTTCCTCTCCAATTTTACTAATGCATACACAAGCTAGCCATTTAGCCTAATACTTCCAACATGCTTTTGAAAATTTTAAACAGAAAACTGATCTGACATTCCAAGAAATAGTGAAAGCTCAACTAGCAAAAGAGGCATGGAAGACAGAAACTCTTCCTCAAAGAATGAGAGCAAATCACCTTTGCAGAACCAGAAACAACTTGCTTCAAGAATTAATCAATAAGGATTTGAAAACTTTTAGCTATTACAGGCTTTGGCAGGAGTAGCAAGTTCAAGAGCTGATCTCCCAGAAATGATCTTCACAGAAGCCAGCTAACTTAGCACCATTTTCAGTAGAAACACTTCTGAAGAACTTGCTTTTATAGATGTGATAAAGAACAGGAAAAGCCCAGTATGGTTATGGCACCCACCTGCCCCTTCCCCAGTAAAATTCTCGAACAGTAATACGGCAACAGAATTTTTTTACAAGCAAATCATGGAAACAGATCTGGGCTGAGTTACAGAGGAAACAACAGCATACTGTTGTACATTATTTATTCTAAGTACTCTTGAGTTCTGACCAGAATAGATAAAGAATACTTTAGATCTGAAAACAAATTCAGTACATATATTATATAAACTTTTATTTACATAAGGCATCAAAATTGCCCTTTTAAACAAAAGGGTCATCTTCCCTTTTACCAATACTTTGGTGAAAGAAATGTCACATTTAGTAGACTAATATTCACTGGTATACTTGTTCTGAACAAGCAGGTATAATCAAATGAGAAGATGAAAAAACAGGCGCAAAAGATCTAAGCATACTATATCATGAATCACTCTGTAGAACAAAGAATTAAGGCTTGTCTGCATCACAATCATGATCAATCATGCATCATTTATTCCCACAAAAAATAAAATTCCTTTCCAACCGGAACAGGAATAGCAAAAGTAGTCTGGTATAATCCCCATATTGTCTACATCAAAAAACAATTTGGCACCTTAGAAATCAGCTTTAAATGTAGGGAGAAAGAGAGAGCAATAATTTCTAAGAGACCTCATAGCAGCCTTCCAGTATCTGAAGGGGGCCTATAAGGATACTGGGGAGGGACTATTCATTAGGGACTGTAGTGATAGGACAAGAGGTAACGGGTTCAAACTTATACAGGGGAAGTTTAGATTGGATATAAGGAAGAAGTTCTTTACTGTAAGGGTGGTGAGGCACTGGAATGGGCTGCCTACGGAAGTTGTGAAAGCTCCATCCCTGGCAGTGTTCAAAGCCAGGCTGGGCAGAGCCTTGGGTGACATGGTTTAGTGTGAGGTGTTCCTGCCCATGGCAGGGGTGATGGAACTAGATGATCTTGAGGTCCTTTCCAACCCTAACTATTGTATGGTTCTATGAAAATGGCCCTTGCTTCAGAATCCTTTGTAAGCATTTCCAGTGTCTGTTTGCAGGAATCCTTCAGTTTAAAGAGTAAGAACAGGACTTGCAAGGACTGATCTAGAAGCATTTTGAGAAAGACTAAAGTTACAGTTCCACTGATCATGAATATGAAATATATACAGAAGACATATTGTTTGGAATAATCAATTCCACACTGAGATCCCCAAGTAAATGGCAAATATACATTGAGCTGAGCCTGTTTAATAGGTCTGATTTATAAAAATCATAAACCTGTATTATGTTTCAGCCTGATTTAACAATTCCTGAGTTTTAGATCACTGCTGAGCCACAGCAGTCAAAACTCTGAACGATGTAGTGAAGTTTTGTACATCACTTTCAACATTAGCACATATTTTGTTCAGCAACTTTCAATCATCAATAAAAGTCAGTCTTCCAGGTCCTTCATTTTTCATCCACCGCCGGTACCTCTTCCATCGGGGATCCATGGCCATCTTCTTCTTTAGCTCCTCCTCTTGTTCTTGTTTGTAGACCTGAGAGACAGATAACAGGTTTTAGTAAAGCTGAAGAAACAGCTTACGTGAACCTCAAGGGGTGAGTGTGTTTGTAGTTCAACCATTTGCTAGCTTAGTGTTTTTACACAAGACTGAATTGCAACACAGAAGCAGATGTTGGCCAACACAAACTATAGGAGTACCTTCAGCCTACCAGAATCTGGATAGAATACTGCTATGGAACTTTATTCCTAGTTGAGTTTCTCAACAACTAAGTTAATATTTCTGCATTAAGTATTGGCAGCATCAAAGGATAAGTAATTACATTCTGTCGAGAAATTCTCTCATTTTAATGAAATCTACAATTACCAGCAAAGTTGAGTACCTAAAAAAAGCAACAGCATCTGTTGTTATTCTGGAAGGCAGTTAGTGTAGATATAGCCAGTGTAAATCTCAATACCATACAGGTTTATGTCATCTTGGTGTCATCTGACTTCTTCCTGGAAGGGAATTAAACTTCATGCTCTGCTATACATGAACAAGATTTAAAAAAATATTATAGATGAATTTATAAATACACAAGCTCAGTGTTCAGTGATCACAGCAGTTTTAAGAACTATTAGGAAAGTAACAGAGTGGGGGGGAAAAGTATCGTGGAGCTCCATGATGTACCATGTATTGAATTCTTAAGTCTTTTCCATTCTAAAAGGAGACTGGAAAACTGAATCAATGTGCAGATAGGCATCTCCAATGATCAAGAACTGAGAAGCTTTTGGGGTGAAACACCTAAGCATATTTTTCACCCTAGAAAACACGTGAGTAAGTTTCAAGTAAGGACATAGTAGTGGCACATGGGAGCACAGGTATTATGAGAGAAAGAGAATAAAGCATGATTATTCTCCATTTCCAGTCATGCAAGAGCCAGCAGGTGGCTGATTCAGAAAAAACACCTGCACAAAACCAGCTGTTCGTACTCTGGGAGCACTGGAAAACTAACACTTGCTTTTCCAGCAGAGCTACCCACCTCATAGTTTTCTCGTATCCACAGTTGCCGTTCAAGGAAGGTCTCTTTTTGATTATCTTCTAGACTGTCAAACTGAGACTCAGACATTTTCATGTACCTTCGTATGATATACAGTTTCTCTTCCACACCATACTCTTGCCCTTTAATAGTGAAACGGTAAATCCACCAACAGTTCCAAACTATGTATTTGCCCAAGTAAAAAGGAGCAAGAAGGATCTGAAACAGAAGGATATCATATATCTTGGGCTTCTGATAACCGCCTTTTATATCTATTTTATTTTTAATAATGTCTTTGATGATTTCTTCCTCTTCTTCACGGATTTCTTCTTTAGACCGCCTGTTCTTGCCTTTTTCTTTAGTCTTGTTGAGTAAACCTTGTTGCCTGGCAATCTCAGTAGCTTGTATACGGTATTTTGGCACTGTAGCTAGATAGTTGATAGCTTCATTGTAACTATTCCACCAACTGAAGAACTGTAATTGAAGAACAGTGAAAGTAAGACCAGGTTTTTACAGACACATTCCTATTTGGAGTTTTACCAGGGGGAAAAGAAATTGCTGTCATAGACCTTTGACCAAAATTGCATTGCAGCAAGAGTAAAAACTGATTGTAACAGTACTTCTGCAGTGTTACAGAAGCTGTAATTATTCCTCCAAACTTAGTAAACCACCCGGAAAATAGATGTATAGATGTACATGTCACAGCAATACACAGTGATGAGGAAGAACAGGAGAGACTGTTCACACTGGCTTTGTTCAGATTGGCTTTGTTCATGAGGAGATGGCAACCTCCTGAAGGGTAATGCTAGGCTTGCCAGCCATTCTTAGAAGCCCCCTTGGATTTATAAATAAAGACGGTGGTGCATGAACATTTCATTACAAAATTGCTACTCATTTAAAACAGTTAATTAAGCATGGATTAAGTATGTCACAATCCCATTAGTCTGACAGGATTCACTTTACAAGATTTAACATCCCTCTCTGATCTCCAGCTACCCTCTGAATTTCAATGCAGGAAACCAATCAACCAACCAGACCAACCCAAACAACAAACCAGAAATATAGTGCCTGGGGTGAACATGTCTTACTAGGCAACTTGTTTAAAAGGGCAGCATTTCACACTATTCACCAAGACAAGGGGCAGACACACAGACATTATACAACCTTAACAAGGGCCAAGAAGAAGAAACACTAGAAAGCAAGAGAGAGGCAAAACAGTTTACACAGCCATTTACACTGAATTTGCAATCATCTGCAGCTGGACTGCAGGAAAATGTCTCCACTTAAAGCCAAAACAAGAAGTAAGAGGGGAAGTGAAACTCTGCCACTGGAAGTAAGTCTGGAAAGAAACTAAGTATTTGGCTGCATATGTCACTGGAATTTGTTATTCCAAGCTCTCAAATTCTGATTGATGCATTTTTGTTTTAAATTCCCATATCCCACTAAAAAGGGAGCTACCTGCATCACAGAATAAGCTGTATCTTCATCTCTTAAACTTTCTAGGTACTTTTAATGACGTTTTGAACCAGTAATCTAACAGATGCTAAAGAAAAGAGTTATGCATCTTCTTCCACTTAAATATTTGTCAGACAGCACACGTTTTCTCATCTAGGAATAGACCTTCCACTGGGTTCAACCCCAGTTGGCAGCAAAATACCACACAGCCACAAGCCTCCTTGCAGTGCGATGGGGAGAATTTGGGGAAAAGGGTAAAAGAGGTAAAACAGGTTAAAAAGGTGGGTTGAGATAAGAACAGCCAAAACCAGGACAAAAAAGAAAGGCTGTTTCATTGACCTTGGACCTACCACCTTCAGAGCAAACTTTGCTGAGCTGAATTTACTTCTCTCCTGACTTCAAAGAAGTGTTTAAAATACATGGCAGTGTAAGAGTCACACATTACTAAGCTCCTGATATTCAGACCTATGATCTGAATTGAGTCTTGAATTCAGTTTCCAATTAGTCTGTTAAAAAAAAAAAAAAAAAAAATACATACGGAGCTTGACAGACTGACACACACTTACTTGGAGCACTATTCCTGATGCTGCTTAGGAACAGGCTGTTCCGAGCCTGCCATGAAGAACTACGTAACTTCTTCAGAACTGCTGCATTTGTCTCTGTGAAATATCCCATCATTAGATTAAAATAATCTCTTTGTCCAAAGTACCAAGGAGAGCCAAAAATTTGATGAGCACATCTGAGTTAGATTTGTTAGGGACACCACAGAGAAGTTTACCACGGCAGATAGAAATGGGCACACTGTTTAATACCTGGCACATTACAAGTGCTGCAGATACTTCCCTTTCAGAAACTCACTGAGCAGTGTCACGTAAACATGAAATTTTACCTGAAACACAGAGATGGCACACACTGTAACTAGAATCACTATTCTGACATCCACTTTAGGTGCCAATCTCCTGCTGTAGTAGTGATAATAATGCCTGTAATACTCTTCAGGATGATCCAACATGTAGTCATAATCTTTACGTGTTTCTTCATCCTGCAGGAAGAGATGAAAAACATGTATAGGTTCATGTTCCTGTTTTTGCTTACTCTCTTATAGCTGTGCTTTATATCTCACTAATGACCATGCTACAACAAAACTGGCAATAGTCCAACGGAATATGAAGCACAGAGGAAAATCTTCCTTTTCTCATACTCTCAATTAATTTGTTCTCGCATTCATCTGCCCACACACATCTGACATATGTGGTCTTAAATGCATAAGCACGCACTGCGTGAAGACATCTAATACTGAAATAAAGACAAGCAACTGAAATCCTCATAGGAAGCATTCTTAATTTCAGAATGGGAAATCCAGATTGACAACAGTTCTTAAATATTGCTCAGGAATAGATTTTTCAGACAAAGAACCTATTAAGAGATTGTTTTGCAAATCTTCTAGAGTTAGCTTACAAGGCTGTGGAATCTGTCCAATGAAAGGCCGTTTCAAAACCTCATTGTTCTCGTTTTTGCAGTTTTTCTCATTTTCACCCATGTAATTAAGAGATGAGAAACTGAATTTTGTCAGCCTCAAGTGTATTCCTTTCCTACCTTAAAAAATACTTCCTTTTTTTTCTCCCTTGCAGACTTAAAAACACGTTTCTTTCTTCCGTTACCATGTTATGTCTTTGCCAAGCCACACACATTTTGCACCCTAATGTGCCAGCACCCCTTAGAGATCCCATAAGCTATTCGGGTCACTGTTACTTTGTTGTTTAAAGGTATAGCTTTAAGATAAAGCCCAGACAGCTCATTCTAAACACAAAGGGATTTCCAAAAGAACAAATTCTAAATACAACGGGATTTTCAAGAGAACTGTACCCTCCCTCCTGTACTCTAGGACTGGCTAATGAAGAAGGTTTTTCGGTTTCCCCTCCTCCCTGAGTGCTGGTAAGAAGCAAGCCGGCGAAGACCACACAAGGAACACAAGACCGAATCTGCAGAGCCTGCCGCGATGTCAACCCGGGAGGCACTGATCCTCCCCAGGGACGAGATACACCTGCGTGGCCGAGGTCTGGCAGGATCCCGATGTTTAAGCTTGAGTCTTTCCTGATGTACTCTTTAGACACACATGCAGCAGATAAGTCGCAGCCGCCGAGCAAAATTTGGAAGGGATTACGCACCTTTCATCGCTTTTACAAGCCACGTTTTCTCTCCTCGCAACATGCCATTGCTCGCTTTTGCCTCCTGCCGCGAAGGCGCGAGCTCCCGTGAGCCACGACGGGACACTGAAGCACCAGCGGGCGATAGACAAGAAGCCGGCCCGGAGCGGCTCGCTCGACCCCGCTCCTACCCGCCTGGGCGCCGCCTGCTCTCCCGAAGCCGGCCCGCCGAGGGCAGCGGCGGCGCGGGCAGCAGCGGGGCCGGGCGCCCTGCCTGCCCGCCGCCCGCCCCGCTTCCCGGCCCGCCGCCGCGCCACCCGCACGGCCCCAGGGGCGGCCCCTCCGCCGGTCCCCCGCGCTGTCTCTTACCGGAGCGGCTCCGGCCGCGGCGGCGGTCCCGCTCTCTCACCTTGAGGGTCTCGTAGGCGGTGGCGATGAGGAGGAACTTCTCGTGCGCCGCCTGAGGGCCGCTGCCCGGGTCCCCGCGGTACCGGTCGGGATGGTACTTGCGGGCGAGCTGCCGGTAGGCGCGGGCGATTTCTGCCTTGCTGGCCTGCCGGCTGACGCCCAGCACCTCGTAGCAGACGCGCCGCCCGCAGTAGAGCCCCTCTGTCAGCGCTCGCGCCGCCCGCGGCAGCAGCGCGGCGCACAGCCACAGGCACAACAGCCACCGCCGCCCCGGCCCGCTGCCACCCGCCGCCGCCATCTCGCTGCCGCCGCTGAGCGCCAGCGGGGCCCGAGCCTTGCGCAGGCGCGTGTCGCGGCCGGGGGATGGGCGGGGCCAGAGCGGGGCACGCGGGGGGCCCGTGAGGACGGGTGTCGCGGCAGAGCCCGCGCTTGGCACGGCGGTGTGCTTACTGATTTCCAAAACGCGTGTCCCGCTCGTCCTTCGGGCGGGGGAGGATCTCATGGATCATCATAGAATAGTTTGGGCAGGAAGGGACCTTCAGAGGTCATCTAGTCCAAACCCCTGCAGTGAGAAGGGACGTCCTCAACTAGACCAAGTTGCACAGAACCACATCAAGCCTAGCGTTGAATGTTTTCAAGAACGGTGCATCCACCACCTCTCTGGGCAATCTGTGCCAGCATCTTACCAAGCTTCTTGTAAAGAATTTTTTTTCCGCACGTCCAGCCTGAATCTTCCCTCTTTTAGTTTAAAACCATCACCCCTTGTCCTGTTTGCTAAAAAGTCTGTCCTCATCTTTTTTATAGGCCCCTTCTATGTACTGAAAGGCCATAATCAGGTCTCTCCAGAGTCTTCTCTTCTCCAGGCTGAGCAAGCTCAATTCTCACAGCCTTTCCTCACATGAGAGGTGTTCCAGCCTTCTGATCATTTCTGTGGCCCTTCTCTGGACCCTCTCCAATAGGTCCATGTCTTTCCTGTACTGAGGACTCCAGAACCGAATGCAGTATCCAGGTAGCATCTCACCAGAGCACAGTAGAGGGGCAGGATCACCTCCTTCAACCTGCTCCTTTTGATGCAGCCCAGGACACAGTTGGTTTCTGGGCTGCAAGTGCACAGTGCTGGCTCATGTCCAATCTCTCATCCACCAGCACCTTGAAGTCCTTCTCCTCAGGGGTACTCTCAATGCTTTCATACCCCAGCTTGTGTTGTTACCAGGGGTTGCCCCAACCCAGGCACAGAAATATCTCATGGAATGCGCCCTGAGCACATGTTTTATTTGAGCACACTCCCGTGAGCCCACATTTTGCCACCCATGCCACGGTAGGTCAGTGCGATTCGGTGTCAGCCCTTTCCCAAAAGGACATATATCTGCCAGGGAACACACCTCCTGCTGCTATGTCCAGGGTGTGCGCACTGCCTTTGGGAGTGGCAGCAAAGGAAAGGGCATTAAATTCTTCAAAACGGGCATTTGGCCCCACAGCTGCCTACAGTGTCTCCGGCAGGAACCATAGAACCAACTAGGCTGGAAAAGACCTTTAAGATTATCAAGTCGAACCATTACCCCAGGACTGTGAAGTCCACCACTAAACCATGTCACTGCAGGCCTCATCTACATGGTTTTTAACACTTCCCAGGATGGTGATTTCCCCACTTCCCTAGGCAGCCTGTTCCAATGCCTGAGCACCCTCTCTGTGAAGATTTCTTTCCTAATATCCAACATAAACCTCCCCTGGTGCAGCTTGAGGCCATTACCTCTTGTCCTGTCATTTGTTACTTGGGAGAAAAGACCAACCCCCACCTCACTACAACCTCCTTTCAGGTAGTTGTAGAGAGCAATAAGGTGCCCCCTGAACCTTCTCTGCTACAGACTAAACAACCCCAGTCCCCTCAGACGTTCCTCATAAGACATCACCTCGACAACAGACCTCTCCAAGGAAGGTCACTCAAGCTTGATGCAGGGAACATTCACCACAAATGTAACTAGCTCTTCAGAGAACACAGGCCATTTTGCTAGAAATGAGTATGCACCTTACGCATCTGGCCTCCTCTGCCACTTATTCATAAGTGTTCATCATAACCCTGGGAGACAGATGAGTCCCAAATCTGCTTCCTCAAAATAATCCTACCTCTGTGCAGTTTCTTAGAGCCCAGCCTCTCGGCGTTGGAAGCTGACGTTCAATTCCTCAGATTCTGAGCTTAACAAATAAAGCAAAACTTGCTCACGGCCAATTCTGCCTTTTTTGTCTTGTTTTGTTTTGTTACTTTTTTAAGCTGAGGAAGAACCCGATTATCTGTCACGGTGCCACCCGGGCTCCCCTCTACCGGAAGAAGCTGGCTCCGGAGCTGTCGGAGGGGATACCAGCTCTGCCAGGCGGTGGGCGGGTCCGCCCGCCGCGGTATGCAGGTGGCACCGTGCGCCTATAGGGGGCGCAGTTGCGCCGACCTCGACTCCCACTCCGTTTTCCTCCGCCGCAGCTGCGGAGAGCGCGGGGGTCTATCGCGGCCGTCATGGAGGTCAGCGCGGACTCGGGTCAGTCTGCTGGCGCTGCTGTCGCTTCTTTCCTTGGGACGCCCCGGGAGCCGCGGGCGGGGCGGGTAGGGGTGAGGGGTCAGCGGGCCGGTGCGTGTGCGCGGCGGGGGCGGGCGGCCGGGACGGTGGCTCCTTCTAAATATAAAGCGGTGGTGACGGGAGGGCGGGCGCTGTTCGGCCCCGCCGTCCCTCGCGGCGGTTTGTGCCGGGGTGAGCTGTAGAGAGGAGTAGGAGGAGTGAGCGGGCCCGGTGCCTGTGCTGAGTGGAGCAGAGGGGCGGGAGCGGCCAGGGCCGGACTGCAGCAGCGCGTCTCTCGTTGTCCTTCCTCCCTCCCTTTTCCCCTCCTCAGCTGGCAACATGGCTGCGGCCGCCGCGGCGGCCCAAGACGAGCTCAGTAAGTAGCTGAGGTGCCGAGGGCTCCCGGGCGGGCGCCGTTCCCACCGGGCGGGCGCCGTTCCCACCGGGCGGGCGCGTGCGGGGCAGGGCCGGGGTCTCTCCTCGGCGAAGCCTCCGCTGTGGCGGGGCCCGGGGCCCGGCTCACGTACCGGTGCGGCTGTACCGGCGGTGGGGCCGGGCCCGGCTCTGCGCAGCCATGTCGGGAGGCGGAAGCCGAAGGCTGCGGTGTTGGGGGAGGCCTGTCCGGGCCGCGGTCTCCCTGCGGCCACGGGGGGCTCGCAGCGGCCTGCGCCCTCTCCCGCCGCTGCGTGACCTTGCGGGGCCGGCCCTCCGCCCGCTCAGTGGGGAGGGGGCTGCTCGGCGGGAGGACCCGCGGAGCCGGGAGAGCTTCCGTGCAGGGAGAGCATCTGCACCCCGAGAGGGCGGGCAGGTGCCCGTGGCTTTGTTCGACCGCAGTCCTCTCGCTGCAGCACTAGTGTAAAAATACCGCGTACCGAGGAACCGGCGTGCTGTTGAGGAGTGCTCAAGCTGCCGGCGCAGTGCTGTGTCTCACGGTAGGTGTGTGAGCACATCCTCAGCCTCTGCAGTTCTCGGCACATGATTACAGCAGCCAGAATCGGAAGAGCCTGCATCTGCGCCGAGCGTGCAGCGCAGGGGAAACCCGGTTCCTGCCTTCTTGTCGAATCTAAATCCCGTTCTCTGTCCGGTGCAATAAAGGATCGACTTCTCTTTGGAGAAACCTAAGAAATTTTCAAGACCGTTTTTTCTTTTCGTGTCTTGTAATAGAACTAGGTCTTAAACAACTGTCAAGAGTTAAAAGCAAGATAACATATGACTCAGCCAAATAAGAGGGCCTCTGGTTGCCCTGAAATAGTACTTGGCAGTCGGTGGTGAGGAAGGGCAGAAGAAATCCTTTGAGCATATTCGTGCTATTGGCTTTCAGTTCTGAAACATTTCTGCCTGATGTGTCACTTGGGTTTTTTTCGTTGTTCTCTGTATGCTGCTGTGTAGGTAGCATCCGTGTTCTGCTCTTTGTTAGATATAAATGGAACTAGGCTGAGTGGAATGAGGCATAAAATGATGATGAGGATGTTCTTTACATAGCCAAAGAGCAGGATTTTGTGGTGGACTAAGAAAGATCTTGCAGTTACACTGATCCTTGAATTGGACGACAGAAATGCCAGGCTATTTATTCTGATGACAACTGGGATAAATTCTAATCATGACCATGAAAGACCTCACTGCTGCTGTCATCCAAGAGTTTCTATTGTCAGTTTTACAATGCTAACATGATTCCTCCTCGTGAAACCGGTCAGTGTGAGATCTCTTGCTTGCAACTCCTCAGATTTTATTTGCATGTAATCTAGCTCCCCATCCTCCAGACCTGATCCTGCAAAAACTTAGTTCTCAACCATGTGCCAGTTGCTACACAGCCCTTTGTGTTAAGTTGTGCTGAGAGGACAAATGTGCTTAGGTTGAGATTCATGTTAATAATCATATGGTATAATTTATATTATTTGTCCACTACATCCTTCAGAATTGAGGGGGTTCCACTGGTTTGATTAGAAATCTTTTATTTTGAGGGGGGGGGGAAGAGAGTGGATTTTTCTTTGCTGATTTTGGGTTATTCCTTAGTACTTCATCTGTCACTGAATAGAAGGTACTGTAATCTTAAATAAAAAGTAAAGCTAATGGAAGAGGAGTCATTTCAGGTAGAGAAAGAGATGGAAACTATACAGCCTATGTGGGGGCCTGCTGTCTTTTAGTACATTTAAATAATTAAATTTCAGAATATTTGGAAAAAAAAAAGTTCTTTTTTAGGGTAACAATTAGTGCCAAAATAACAAAAATAATTACTACTAGTTTTAGATTAGAAAACCAGTTTTCCTTGCTTTATATGTACATGGCTGTAGGACTCTTATCTATACCTTCACTCAAACACATAAACTCCTACTATTTGCTTGAAATCTGTATCAGAATGTTTACCAGTTTAAGGGCAAATTGTTTGAGGACAGCATAAGAATGGAGATAAGGCAGTTAAAAAAAATAACGGAAAATTGGTAAACTTGCCCTGAACCTGCAAGAGTTCGGATACAGGGGAAAGGAAGATTAATCTTCAGTAAGAATAGATAGCCACTAAATAGAGCGCCTAAGCCTGGCATACAGCAAATGTTTGGATTTCAGTATGCAACTAAAATTTTTTATCATCTTTTATATAAAACGGAAGAATAGGGTAAAGAAAGGTAATGTATTGCTCCTTCCCAGCGTTTTCCAATGAGATCTCATAAAATAACCTGTTGTCTGGCCTACTTTTACAAATGCCCCTCAGAGTGATTTGGCTGTAGGCATGCAGCGGGTTACTTTTAGAGCCAGGAATAGCACCAGCAAATCCTGACTCACTGTTGGCTACTGTAATCATACTAGA